TTATGTAATTCAGTAAGAACTCTTCAATTCTCCAGGGTTTCATTTTGGATTATTTTCAGCCCTAGCTAGATGTGGCATTGCAACAGGTCTTGAATCTGTGACTTTTTTCTTACGCATTGCATAAAATCTCTCTGAGTCATAATTCCTTCCAGAAATTTCCTAACAGATTAAATAAATTGAAATTATGTGATAGTTTCATAAAGATTAAATAACATATTAAAACTTCTATATTTGTACAGATGTTTTCTTGGATATTGCAATATGAGTAGTGAAAATTAACAATTCATATTTTCTGGCAGTTAAGGGGGCTGGTGTTCCAAACCTGAAAATAAAAAAGCATATCTTTTTTAATAACACATGCATTACAATGTACATCTTGTTAAATCAGTTGTCTTCCTAAAGGAGTGAAAAAGCTTATTCTTAGTACCATCAGTTTGTACAGCATATCTAGTATAGGATTGTTCCTTGAATGTTGACGATTTTAGAATGTACTGTTCTTTAAACAAGTTGTATTTATGGTTAGTTAGTTACTGAGGTCATCCTTTAACATGTTCTTCAGTAACAAAACATTGTGAGCGAGACCTTTAATCCTTGCAAATAGTTTTTGATAGCCTATGAAGGTATGAAGCAACTTTTTAAAAATTGGATGAGCGGATATTGAGCAACAACATAGTATGACTGTTCACCAATAATATTTTCACTAAAAAGGAATGTTTGAACATTATTTGTTTGTAATTAATCCTTTGAATCAATTACAGCAAGCTCTAAACATCATGGCAGGTAATATCAACAAAACTCTTTTCAGCTTCTGTGGAATATTATCTTTTCAAATTGTTACAAGGTAAAAAAGAGACATATCTCACACCATTGTGTCAAACAGTGAATTCATAGTAGTAACTTCAGCAGCCTTCAGTAGTCTTTAATAATCAAAGACCTTAACCCTTTACATAAAAGTAGCATTTCACTTTGTCCTTTAGAAAATCATCACTAGTGATGTCAGAAATTTACTGTTTTTATAATTGTAATTTGGCTTCTTTAAATAGCAAACACGATTTCTGTCTCCAAATACTATGAGATGTTGTGGTCTGCAAACGATGACAATATGATAACTCGTTGCCCACATCTATTAGCCTGTGCCATTTGAAATATGTACTTTAAAAATGTTTTTATGTTTCTGTATAACTATTTTATTTTCATGCTGATCCTATCTGTTCATTATTACATAGAACAAATAAATGCCCCATCAATAATGATATATGTAAGGATATATTAATCATCATATTTGAGTATAACTATTTCATTGGCTGTGTTTTGTCCTAAATTCCATCTGTTTTTGTTATTTCCCTTAGAAAGATTTGCATTCTTGTAATAAGATGTCATTTCTTATGAACTTTATAAGAGTTTAAAATGTCATGTGAAAAGTTAGTGAAGTTAATGTTTAATTCAACTTAATCTCTATTTTCAGCTAATATTAGATTAATACATAAATGTATAAAATACAATGAATTGCTTATTAGCATTATTTTATTTTCAAATGCAATGTCTTTTTACCATTAACCCAAGAATATGTGATTATATATAATTATCCTGTATTACCTGCAAACTGTGTTTTATTTCTCAATCAGTTTCTGGAATAACATTTTACCAATTACCAGATTTGTTATTCTCAACTCCCACATGTAAGCTACTTTATAAGTCAGTGCATTGTAACCATACCAGAACACCCAGAAAGGAGAAATAATCAGTGAAAGCAGATAGTTTTTGTTGATCAAAGGAGAACAAAAATGATATTAAATAAACCTGAAATAAGAAATATTTGAAAGCTTCTGAAAATTGAGTTTAGACATTAGAGCAGTATAGTGCTGTAGTTATAAGAAATGGCCTGCATAGTAATGGTGGTGCTCTTAAAGTAGCTTTGTGAATCTGTTTTCAAGCCAACTATGTTCAAGTTGTCCATGTTTAAAAATGTTACTGAGTGACTTTGGACCAGTCATTTTCAATTTAACCTACTTCAGAGGAATTCTTCTGGGATTAAAATGAAGGCAATCCCCATTTTTGGATGCCTTAAGCTCTGGCAGAAAATAAACCACAGACTCTGAGAACTAGGTTGCATTAATCTGGAAACAAAATCAGATTGTTTTTTAAAAAAAATATTTTCATTTAACAGTAATTATTCCTCCAAATACAGTAATTACAAAGACGCATCTTTTAAAAATAAATAAAATTCAATAAAAATAATTCCAGTGCCCCTAATTCAATATAAAATTGTTTCAAGAAACTTTACAATTCAAATGTCCAGAATAGTTAATTTTTATCCTAAAATCCTATTGCCATTAAAATCTCTGATGGGTTTATAAATAATTTATGGAACTTAACAGTTTTAACAGCAGAAATGGCCTTGACTTTGAAATTAATGTCTACTTGCTTCTGTATCTCACCTTCCAGAAGCCTCTTGGAAATCTTATTATCTCTTAAAAGTGCACAGAAAACAAACATGAACATTCATGTTAGAATGAAACATTAGGCTATGAAATTTTAACATAAATGTTTGGATTTAAAGTTCATAGTATCCATGACCAAACTAGAATTATAATTTTGGCTTAACTGAAAATGAGCCATTCTGATCTGGCTTCTGCAGCTACTTGGCAAGGCTAACAAATATGGTGATATCATCCATTCTTTGTTTAGTATTACACATCAGTCAGGAATTTGGGCTTGCTTTTCTTGGAATAAGTAAACCCATAAGCATTTTTCCCCTTGGTTTGTGCTCTGATGTTGTATTCAGAGGTTACTGTTGTTGCAATTTAACAAATCACAGATGTTTCTTTCCATCAGCAAATGTTAAGGGAAGTAGAGGGTTGCCTGATCCAAAACGTTTTTTCAGAGTATTGATTCACTACAAGGTATATATGACCCTGATTTCACAGGAAGGACGCTTCATCACTCTCAAAAAAATTATTTACGAATCTGTATGACTTTCACATCATCATTCCATGGTGTATCACATGATCTAAAGCAGTGTTTCTCAACCTTGACAATTTTAAGGCATGTGGACTTCAACTCCCAGAATTCCACAGCCAGCACTGCTGGCTGTGGAATTCTGGGAGTTGAAGTCCACATGCCTTAAAATTGTCACGGTTGAGAAACACTGATCTAAAGGATGTACAATGGGAAATATTGGGAAGCTGGACTTCTTAAAGAAAAAAAACTTTACCTTTCTCAAAATACAGAACTATCTTTTCCAATGTGACTTCTTTTAGATGTATTGGGATTAATATTCTCAAAATTCCCACCCTGGAAGATGTTAATAAGGTTGTATTAACTAACTTCTAAACTAGGAAGCTGAAAATATTGTTAGCTGTTTCAATTGATTTATCAGCCTGACTTTTGACTGTTCTTATTCATCAAAGTTGTTTTTTTTTCATTCTAGGCACAGAAGCAGCAGGAGGCATAATTGTTCCATCATCTTCCAAAGGCAAGAAGAGTTTGCTTTAAATCCTGTTCCTCCTTGTAGTACAGGACAGATAGGATTGCCAACTTATGATCAAGCAATGGCATTAAGAGAAAATCATGATTCTCCACCCCCACCATATCCTGGACGTTCAGGAAAGTTCAAAGTGTTCAAAAAGTCTCTCTCACTTCCAGGTCCTTAATGAACAAACATGACCTTTGTTGAAACTGTTGAGAATTAGTCTTAATAAAAGACGTGCAGCTGAAATGCTACAGTATAGCATTCTAAGACAGTGAAAAGAATATCTGAAGATGCCTATGATGGACTAAATGGTGTCAGGTAACAAGGAACCCATTTCTCCAATGTTCTGATAATTAAGGATGAAAGACTCTTTTTATGATATTTCCATTTATATGTGAAAACCTATACTGAACTTGGCTCCTGTGCATTTTGAGCCACTGAGTAAACTGATGTGCAGTTTTTCCTGTTTCTTATAACAGAAAAGTTTTATTTCCAATTCTAAAAATTGCACTAGTTTTCTATTTTAAAGGAAAAAATATTTTTCTTTTGAATTTTCTCTCATGATAAAAATGTGCTTGTGTCAGTTTTTGATTCCTGGTGATCGCCTGATCTAGTCCTTACAGTTGTTGGTAATAATGTTGGCAGAAGTGCTTTGCCATGGCTGCCTTTCTAGGGCTAAGAGAAAGTGACTGGCCCTATTTCACCTTTGTGCCTACGGCAGGATTAGAACTTAGTCTCCTGGTTTCTGCCCGATGCCTTAATCACTACACCAAACTGGCTCTCCTGTGATAAAAATGCTAACACATTAAAATTTCAATTATCTAATTGAATATTTGATCTATTTCTTATATTAGGAAGAATATATCCATGTGGGTGTTATCAATAAGTTTTTATAAATAAAATAACTATTTGTACCTAGTCCGTTTTCTTTGTTAATGCCAATTAAATAATGAATCTGAAAGAAAATGTCTGATATCTGAAAAACTGCCTTGCTTTATGAAGCCAAAGATCAGTTTAGATGTTAAACAGACTTTCATGAGAAGCTCACAAACAAGACATGATGTAAGAGCTACTCTTTCATTACTTATTTGAAGGGCAATATGGCTGCAAGGTGGGGTTGGGTCACAGCAAACAAAGTGCATCTGGATTTTCAGAGGGCTTAAGTTCTTTAAAAACAAAAGACAGACTTATTTCAAGGCACTATTAGTTGCTATCTAGTCAGCAACCAGATTTTTTCCCATGGCAATCTGTTCCTAACCTGGTTCTTCAAGTTTTTCAAAGATGACTGTGACTACCATTTTTGCTTCTCACCTAAGAATGACAGAAAAAAGTCTTCAATTTTCAGCCCATATAGTCCAAAGGAATTCTAAGGGCTGTGAAATGCTTGGCACTGCAGCTTACCAATCTTTGTTCTGAAAGAAAATGTTACATGACGAAGCTTTGAGCCACTAAAATGTTAAACCAATGTCTCTGCCATATTGACTTATACCAGGTTGTTAGATTTGCCATAGGGCCATTTCTGCAGACCATTCTACTACAACTTGAATCCTTTATAGTCCTCCTTTGTCAAAATAATTAAACATAAGATGGTTTCATCTATTTCCTCTGCACAATTCATAGTGGCAATATTGTATCTCAAAGTCTGTGTCTTCCTTTTCAATGAATAAAACTTCAAATTCAAACTTCCATATTTGAAAGTAGGTCCTTACATGCCAGCATAAATATCACAAACTTCCCTCAGCTGTTAATCTCAAACTGCATTGAACTTGATTTCCTACTATCCCCAGCTGCTCTCTAGGCACCAGCACAAAAGTTGGAAAAGTCAGTAGTAGGGCACTTCTCTGCTGAAAAGATGCATCTTATTTTTTACAGCATTCATTTTTACATTATTTTGTTATTGCTTCCTATAATTCTCAAACAAAAATGTTTGTGTAACAGTGTCAAGCACAGAAGCATGCAGTGATTTAGCAGACAGGGACAGGATTCTCCTAACTTAAACATTAAAAGTATATAAAATACAATTTATGAAGTTCCATCGTTCAGGTATTTTACCCTCACACACATTCCGAATTAGTAAATATATGTGTAAAGAAAAATTTCCACACCTTTCTTTTGAATCTTCAGACACGTTTTCCCATTACCTGGCCATCAACCTTAGATTTGCATCATGTACAGGTATGCTTAATAAAGAGACACTAAGAATTCAAACCACGTTTCTAGCGTACAAGCAAGTTTAAGACACTGTACGTTAAATTTACAGCACGCATAAACGGGAAGAGAGAAAACGTGTCGTTTTAAGCTGACAAGCAACGTGGTCACGAAGCCACTTCATGCGTTATTTGATTAGCCTTTTGTAGAAGAACGTTTCATAAGCAAAGGCGTAAAGCTACTACAAATCCCAGCAAAGCTTTTCGTGTACAGGCGTTGTAGAGATGGAAACCGCGGGAACGGGAAAATACTTTCCCCCCCCCTCCCCAGCGCTTCATTTCGCCACCGCGGGAACAAAGTGAGCCGGAGCAACCCCTTCGCGCTCCCGCTCGGCGTCCTTCTCCTTGCTGTAGGCGCCCTCTTCTTTCTCCTGCTGCGGCTACAACTCCAGCTCACCGGCCGCAGCAGGAAGAGCAGCGGCGGCGGGCGTCGTTTCTCGTGTCCTGAAGCCGATCGGCCCCAGTCAATTGCAGCCGGGTGGGAGGGGCAGCCTGGGAAAGCCACAGCCCGACATGGGTCTTCGGCGAAGCGGCTCGCAGCCCTCGCTGCCAACTTGGCCGCGGCGCGCCGCAGCTCTCCGGCTTCTAAGCCGCTCTCCCGCCTCTCGCAGCGGAAACTGAGGGGAGGACCGGGTGGGGGGGTGGCCGCCGCAGCTGCCCTCCTCCTGCGAGCGGGAAGGGGGAGTCGTCCCACTCTACTCGGTCCCTGCAGCCGCCCCCCCTTCCCTCCCCGCCCCGGCTGGCCGCTCCTTGCTCGCCAGGGCCCGAGCGCAGCCCGGCGTCCCCTCCTTTCCCACTCGGATGATGGACAGGAACTACCCACCAGCCCCCAGCTACCCTGATCCATTAGGTTCGGCCGCCGCCGCTGCCGCCTCTTCGCAACCCGCCACCGTCTGGGCCTATGAACGGGGCGTCAGCAGCCTCAAGCCCAGGTAAGGAGGGTCTGTCCCTCGCCAGCCCGGGGGGCTGCGTCAGGAAAGGCCGGGGATTGAGACGAGGCCTGCCGTCCCTCGCGCGCCTGCTCGCGGCTCCTTCGCCTCCTCCTCCTCCTCCCAGGTTGGGCGGCTTCCCTGCTCCGTGGCGTGGCGTGGCGTGGCGTGGGACGGAGAAGAGAGGTCTCCTGGCGAGGAGAGGACAGAGGCGCGTCTCCGGCAGGGGAGCCCTAGGGCCCTCGGGATCCCCATTGCTCGGAGCTCGAGCGGGGATTTTGGAGGGGCGTAGCGAGACAGACCTGCGCGTGGAGGGAGTTTTGGGGACAATGAAAGCGGGAGGCGTTGCGAGGTGCAAATAGAGGAGGGACGCAGGGGAATTCCTGGCTGCCATGTAACCCCGAGCCTCGCTTTCCTCTCTTCCCCACCATAACGCACACGCCCACGCTGTTTCGGTCGGGGAAAGCGTGTAGTTTCCCCCCCCGGACACACACACACACACACCCGGGAGAAGAGTTCAGCATGACAGAACCCCCCCCCCTTTCCCCCTCCTTCCGTTTCCAGGGTGCCTTCGTCCCTGCAAATGCGGAGGGGGTAAGGGAAAGCTCTTGGGCCGCCTCCCCTTGCTTCCAAGGTGCGTGTGCGGGGCAGGCCGTTCAGGTTCAGGAGTTCATGTTTACTTCCTGCGTTGCCTAGGGAAGGCGTTTTTGAGGTCTCTGGGAAAAACAGGGAAACCTACTCCAACCCCCCCCCTCCCATGTATTAATACAGCGTAGTAATGGAGAGCAGTCCCTTAAATAAAGTCTTTAAAGGAAGGTGTGGGCCCGTTGATTAACTGAAGATTTAGAGCAGGGGTAGTCAACCTTGGCTCTTTTATGACTCGTGGACTTCAACTCCCAGAATTCCTGAGCCAGCACAGCTGGCTCAGGAATTCTGGGAGTTGAAGTCCACGAGTCATAAAAGAGCCAAGGTTGACTACCCCTGATTTAGAGCATACCAAACAAGAGTAAATGTGCCTTCACCTTTGGAAATGGAATAGGTTTCTCTTCTGAAACCACCCCAATACCTTTTCATCATTTTCGGTTTGTACTTTCCCCCTCTTTTTTTTATAGGCAGAGGTTCCGAAGCTTGTATGCCCTGTGCTTTAAAACTTGATTTCATGCTGAAACTTGCTTAAGAATATTCAGCTCCCAGGGCCTAGGACACAAACACAAAGAATATTTGATGGGATACTTTCCAAGGATATTTTATCAGATAGAATAGCAAGATGGCTTTCTCATCTTGCCAGACATGAAGTAAAGATTTAAAAACTAATTACGAAATGAATTTTAATCTATGTTGCTTCCTAAGAGATGTTTACACATGTTTACCAGTGATTTGTATGGAATTTGACATTTATTTTGGCTCTAATAATATGTGTGCAGTGTGTGTAAAATAACAACAAAAATACAATAAATCTTTAAGCCTGTAAGTCAGCAAAAATTAAATTAGCTTTGGTTTCTTCAGTAGTCCTTATCCTTTGATGGCTTGTATGCTCTATATATCCCTTCTTCCTGTTCTGCAGCTATGTCACTTCTGAGAAGACTTGTTTTGTAGTTTAACTTAACAAAATGTAGCAAAATATAAATAGACCAAAGCAAAAAACACATTTCACAACTAGACATTTGTGCAGGTAGTCCAGCAGTTAAGACACCAGAGTAGAAACTAACTAAACTCTTAGTTTAGGCACGAAAGCCAGCTGGGTGACTTTGGGCCAGTTACCTTCTCTCAGACCAACCTATCGCACAGGATTGTTGTACAGAAAATAGGAGGAAGGAGGGCATTGTGTATGTATGCTCCACTGAGTTTTTAATAAAAATAATAAAGGCAAGATTAAAAAAAAAATTATGAGGAAGCACAAAAGGGCTCACCTGCGAGATGAGAGGGTGGAGCAGAAAGCTGCCTGAAGCAGTGAAGGAAATATTTTGAAAACCGGGGAAATGATTTCTTATGTTGATTATACAGTATCTGTTCGTTTCTCCTGGGGAGGAATGAATGGGTTCCTGACTAAAGAGACAAGATTTGATTCTAATGTGAAGATTGTTGGGAAAGATGACTCAGAATATCTGGAAGAAATCTCACTAATCAGCTTTTTTCAATCCTAGATTTTATTAACTTTTCATTGTATAGTTTTTATTGCAGTAAGCAAATTATAGTTAGCTCTTTCAATATCTCAGAATATATTATTCGGGTTACTCAAGAAAATAGTTTATGGATATTGGTTATTGGCTCATATTTGGGACCACTCAAGCCTCAGTTGTTGCCCACAGCCTACCCTCAGAAACCCTATAAAAGCAAAGTAATTTAATTCTAATTCATTCCATGTGCACATAATGATTTCAGAAAGTCCCTTAATTGAAGAACACGTAGAAGTATCATGCACAAACTTGAAGCAGCCTTCATTATTTTGAGACAATAGCTCTTCTATGCTGGTTGATGAGTTTAGAAAGTCACATACAAGAGAAGGCCATGTAATAACTTGTTTGAAGTTTCCCACCTGATAACAGAGGGGGAGCATGACTGTGCCAGCAAATAAAGCAAATAATGACAATGATTTGCATTTAGGTACTACATATATGTAGCCAGAATGCCATAAAAACCAAAGGACATCCTTTTTCTACATCACCTCTCCCTTGAGAAATCAATATTGGAATGACATTTATTTCTACATACCTTGAAGATTCTCCCATATATCAGAAAATCTCTATTGCTGATTGTCCTGTTTTGCTTCCAAACCAATAACCCACTTTACAATTCAACAAGAAAAAAAAATGGGGAAGAATAGTCCAATCAGCTTGTATACAAAATTATAGCAATTGCTTTGTATAAGGTGGGATGAGGATGGAAGTTTTGTACTATGAAGCTTTATTCCCCAATAAACTATGTGATGTTGAAAATAGTAGGCTTAGAGCTGATTATCTCCATACATTAACAATTTGTTGCTATCAAGAGGATTGTTTGGGGAGGATTGTATACAATGTAACATAGTCTCTAGTTATTATGTTTTAGCAGATTTAGGTCAGTTTCCTGTAGTTTCTGTTTTCCATATATGTCTCAACTTCAGCTTATTCTAAAAATGTGTATATCTCAATTACAATCTGTTGTAGAATTAAATCAGAGTGAATGACATACCATTCTCCTTACGTTTTTGCCAGCTCTTATCAGTCTTAGCCAGTTTGACTAAGGGACATACACGCAACCAAGTTGTGATACATTCTGACTTCACACACCGTGTTAAATCAAAACCAAACCACATTGTGGCTGATTAAAAAATAGTCTTAAGGCAATTTGTGGAACTAGCAACCATCTACCCAATTTTAGTTCTTTTCCACATATTCTTCCCTTAGGATGAAAATATTGCTGCCTATAGAAGACAATGATTTAGTCAACTGTGATAGGGCATCAACAAATAGACCTCGCAAAGTAAGATGAATGGCTTTATTATTTTAGTCCTTCTGTGGTCCTATCTTTTTACTAGTTGTGATTCAGAAAATTCCTAAGTTTTGTAGAAATTTATATCTTGTTTTTTCAATGATCCAGATTGCCTTTCATTTGACAGTTGACCCCCTGAGGCCATTCCTGAAAGAAACAAATTGTTTCAGTGTATTAGTAAGAATGTTCAGCTAGTTACTCAAACCCTTTTCAGTAAGCTACTCCATGTGCTCAGCCCCATGTTCCTTTTTTATTTTTCTATCTCACACTCCACATTGCATGACTTAAGGGGTCATGCTTAAGTCTCACTAAACTGTTTTGTATTTTAAGAGGGGAGGAGACTTAGAGTTCTTTTTAACAACAGTCTATTAAGTTCACTAAGCCGGCTGTTATTTCTTGTTTCTTCCTGTCCTTTAGCTCCATCCAGCACTTTGGTTTCCTGTTTGAGATGAATGACCTTGTGGAATTATTTGGTTGCTAGTCTGCTTAAGTGTTAATGATTGGATTTAGATATCATACTGTAGATCAGGCATGTCAAACTGCCGGCCCACTGGCCGGATGCGTCATACCGAAACCCTGCCCATCCCATTGCCGGTAATGGGGAAAAAGTCATGATACATCGCACGACGTCATGTGACATCGCGAATTTGATATGCCTGCTGTAAATGAAGGAACAATCCTGGACATATAACATATACTGTAGTATTAAATATAGACAGTGCAATCAGAATAACAGTGCAAGTAGTCCTCAACTTACAACCACAATTGAGTTCAAAATTTAAGTTGCTAAGCAAGACAGTTGTTAAGTGAGTTTTGTCCCATTTTATGACCTTTCTTGCCATACTTATTAAGTGAATCATTGCAGTTGTTAAATTAGTAACACGGTTGTTAAGTGAATCTGGCTTCCCCATTGATTTGCTTGTCAGAAAATCACAAAAGATGATCACATGATCCCAGGACACTGCAATGGTCATAAATGTGAAAAATGATAAGTCGCTTTTTTCAATGCTCTTACAACTTCAAAAAGGTCACTAAACAAATGATTATAAGTTGAGGACTACCTGTAGCCAAATTCACACTATTTGCTGAGCCCAAAATGCAATACCTATATATTATGTATTGTACACAATATGAATTGATGCTATGTAAAAACCTAGCCATTTTACCTTGCTTGGATCTACACAACATGCTAAATCCATCTGTGACTTAGTTTGGGGGTTTGTTTTTGGACAGTGTAGGTTTGTTTTGGGGCAATAAACTCAGTTCCTGTGTTTATAAACTATGATATATGGTTCAGTTTAATGTGAATGCAATCATTATTCAACAAACCATAGTTTATTGTCCCTCATACTTCAGGGCGTGACACCAGTCTTTATCATTTTATTGACTGAAATATCTACTTTTGATTTTAAAGAGTGACAAATATGAATGTTGAATTATAGACAGATTAAAGAAGTTATTTGTTAACCCAGAGAGCAATTTGTATGTATGTGTGTAATTATATATAGTTTTTCCATTTCATCATTGTGTTA